AAGGAAGGTCTGCTTGTGACTCATTATACGTTGCCGTTTGGGAAGTTACAGTTACTGGGGCTGTTCTTATGTTCGATAGGGAATTTTACTGTGAATAGCAAAATCAATATGCAAAGGCACCTTACCTTCACAAGTTCCGCATAAAGCCCACTACTTGCCAGAATGGAAGAGGATACATGGGATTTATAGTCATTCAAAGGAAATGTTCTGCTTCCGTTAAATCCCTGTCAAATTGGTTTTCCTCTTTGGACCACGTTATTTCAGGTTGAGATTGTTATATGACTGACTCAGCGTTCAGGTAATAGATAATTTAGGGGCTAAATTGATTGAATGATAAAAATACAAACACTATTTAAATAACCCAGTATATATGAATCAGTATAACTGATTAATTAAAGTAGATCGTGATCCACTACCTTGAAATAGTTACATTGTGTACTTACAATATGTATCAGTCCTGCAATCTGACCAGGGATATTAAGCGTGCAGCTGTTTAAATAATATGAATATGACCTGACTAGTGAAAGTGCGCTATTTACGGTACGTCAGTGGCTCTAGTCTCTACGGTGGGAGCTCAAAGAGCAAGTATTCTCGCCGTTTGAAGTCGACTGGGTCATTTCAACCGTCATGTCAGTGTAGTGTCTGTCAGTTTGAAGTTCTAAAATTTTCGTTTATTACTATTTGGCGCTTGTCACTACTTTAACCTTATGGCATTTGAAATGTCTACCACTAATTTCAACAGGTATTGTCAAGAATGGTATGCCCAAAAACTTGGAAGAATAGTTCAAAATTCGTCCTGTGTTATATTGAGGTTTGATACTAACGAGAGTCAACTGGCAAAGAGTCTAGTTGAAAAACCTTTACTCCGCGGTTTTTTGAAACATGGAGATTTCGGAACTATAGCACTGACTAATACCAGAGTAAGTTGAAATTTTTATCTAGTTTTCTGTATTGAGTGAGGTACTGGTTTTGATAGATATGGCAGCTTTTTAGTAACTGTCCACTGAATTATATGTTTTATGCAAGACGGATTCGTGTGATTGCCTTTGTGTTACATATATATTGTATAAAAATTGTTTTAAAGTTTGAGTTTTTTGACCAGCTGAGCCTACGGAATCAGTCATATCAAAAGTAAATCCACAAAATTTGCTCTTTCGTTTAATAAGCTGTTTTTGGCATCATTTTGGAGTTGTTTTAAAACATTTCATATTAGAAGGTCCCATACAGTACATTATAGATGTAAAATGACTGGGTTGTAGAGTCAAGTGAGTTACCTTTTATTAAAGGGATATTATATATACGTCATAATTTTAAATATCAACTATGCGTAACACATTAAATTGTGCATCCTTTCAGTGATACGATAGTTATGTGGACTAATCATCCGAATAATTCACAATAAGCATGTAGTCAGTTGAACTCTGAGATAGATATTCCATTTCCTAAAAATCTTACCAATATGTACAACATTACATACAGTGAGTAATAAGGTTATGAGTAATTATCTCTTTAGTAACTTCGGATAGTTCAGAAACATAGATCCTCCTATATTTAAACAGATACAGTAGTATTTCTTGACTGACCATACGTCTGTTCAGTCACTCAGTGTTATGCAACGCAGACCCTGGCATATATGTGAATAGGTTTCAGTCGACACACCACATTAATACGGAGAGGAAATTACCAACTCGAATTGTGATAAAAGTAGTAGTCATGGAAAGAAGTATAAGGTTTCTGTAGTAAACTAATATTTTTCACATTTGTTTGCTGTAACTGAAATCTTAGGAGGTCCTAAGTCACGAGGCAGTATGGTTTTAAGCATTTTAGTCTCTTTTCAATAAGGCGAAATTTTCCGTGAATTTCCTGGATTGAGAGGACACTTTGTCCTAACCTTTTCCGAATTAGTTTAATTAAATCTCGAATTTTCAATATCTGGTTCTTAGAAAATCGTGAACAGTTGCCTTATGTCGCGATCACCCCCTTACCATATCTTTTGCTTTCGCTGTCTATACCCACTACGTGTACATTTTTGTGTTTAAGTCGTCTTCGCTCGTCACTGTGTACCCAGTTTGGTGGGATGAGCTTCAGAGTAACTATCGATTCACTGGGGGCCATCGAAATTCTAATTTTTAACCTTTTGGTTGACTCACTGGTATATATCACCTCAGTTTTCACAGAAATTTGGATATCGTGTCAACCCTCATCTCAGTGAACATCAATCTGACAATTGACTAATTGATTCTGTCGTTCAGGAAATATACTGTTGACTTTTTTATCATTAAGCTGGGCTCCGAGGGGCTTTCATGCTGTGTTTAGTAAGACGTAGACAAACACGTGCTCGCACAAGATCGTAGTTTAAGTTTAGACATGTGCTCCCGAATGCGTGATCATTTATTGAGCCTCTCTAACCAATAGCTAACGGTAATATGGTCTATTTGAGTCCATCGAGTTGATTTCGGTGGTCATCATTTCAGACAATATCTTTATGTTTTAGGATTACACTTGCTAAGCATAAGCAATTGTCTAAGCATGGTTGTCGGTGTCTGTTTGCTTATTTGAAGCACTTAAATCACTAGTGTCTCCTACTTTGGTTTAGATTTCCAGTGAGCCATCAAGACCTGTTATGATTACGACATCTGAGCATTTGGATCTTCGAAAGTAGGGAAAGCTTTTTGTAAAATTTATCTTCATAATTCCGATTTCTTACTCCTCTATTTAGTTGGACAGTGCATAAGCGACTGTCCATTAATTTCAGCTTCATTCGAACTTAGTACTACATCTACACCAGCGACGCTACGCAAAGTAGCAGTCTCAACGGCAGATACATAAAGAGTAAATATCCCCGGTTCTCTAAGCTGATTTGGTAAGGTTAGGCGAATGGCCGCACTTGAATAATGTGTGCGTGTTTCGAAAAACGTATGTTAATGTCAAGGGATTTTTTGATTGTTTGACAGTATAAGTTGCTTTTTGAGTACGGACGCAAATACTTAATCAATTAATATGATTCGAAAATTGTAGATAATTTCCAATCTTATTGTCTATGATTACCACTCTGGTCAGTTTAATTCATTTACTTTGATGATGGAAATCACTTTGTAATTCTTGTCACTAAGCTTCCACTTATCTATTCGCAAAAGCATAAGAATAATGAGAATTTTTCACCCTTTATGTAATTTGATCAAATCTATCTATCTGGTTCCTCGGATGATAGAAGAGGAATAACCCTGAAAGTGAAGTAACCTCCAAATCTGATTACTCCCATCCCATGTGCATCTAAATGTTCTTGTCATGTTAATATCTTGCTTATAAATATGTTAACTTAATAATTAAAAACCTTTTATTGTGGCTATTGGCCTTATCTTTGATATTGATTAACTCAAAGACCTGAGTCGGTGATCCGGTCTCGTGAACAGTTATTACCAATGCGTTGATATATCGATCGATGTTGTCCCTATTCCTTTTTAACAATCCAACATTCGTTCAAGTTGTGGGAACCTCCGTAAGTTTCACATCGAATTTTTAATATGTCGATTGCAGTATGGACTACTTAGTAAAATTTCTCAAACATTCCTTAAAGCTTCATAATGACTGCCTAACCCCGATTAGACATATCAAGTTTTTAAATGACCAAAAATTATTTACATATCGAATTTTCAAAACAGGACCTAACAACATTTTTTTTGTTTTAATTACTGTTTTCTCATATTTAGGTTATTGGCTGCCACAATAGCATAATCAGTTTGTGTGAATGTCTCACACCAAACCTCACTCCAAGTACAATCGTAGCATGCATCCAGCAACATCTGCGTGTAGACTTTATCTTGAAAGAGGACATAAAACGACTCAGTTCAATGTATCCACTTGACTGGGATCCAGCTGCACGCAATCTTCATTTGCTAGCAGGTCAAGGGGTTATGGCGACAGCGACTATACATATAGCTCCGAACGGTTCAATCAGTCTTGTGAAAATTAGGAAATCATCCAATCCAGATCATCCCAATCCACATTTGGCAGAACCACGTAATTTTGTTCCACCGATTTCGTGGTCTTTAGATGAGTGGTTGATGGAAATCAATGACTTTTGTAACTCAATCATCCCAACAAGCTAACTAACTATTTTCAATCTACTTATGCAATTCCATCTCAATTTTCTCACCCGACAATACCTATTTTTTTAACTGTGAGATTGTTATTTCTAATGCTTTTAATAAATGTACATACCTGGTGCCACAAATTCATAATTGACTTTGCATGTAAATATGCTTTTCTGCACATGTTTACAGTCAAACTATAGTCTCTTGTGTATGGGTACGGAACATCCAGCGAGGAATTGATGTTTACCGTATACTTTAGTATGTGTGTCGACTGAGGCGGTTAAAAGTTAACTGCTGATTCGAATGACGCTTCATCCAATTTAGATATCTGGTGTAATAGTTGTACGCAATAACAGATTTTACTCGAATTCCTTTTCTTACCGAAATTCATTTTATTTTGGACTACTTTGCGTGATTTCTGATAGTGGTTGAATTCTGTGGAAATTCACTGATGTTATGAACTTGCTTTAATTCATAGGAAAAGGATCACCATTTGATAAGCAGTATAAAATCTGGAGACCGGTAACTCTGGGTCATGAGAACTCGATGATAAATAGTTTAAGATCACATTGTTACTACTTGTTTTTAAAATAATATTTTCTGATGGTCAAGCTATCCAGCTCAGAGAACAACACTCCAGCGAAATCACTCACCTGGGCCACAAATCTTCATTTCAACGTCCACGTAGCTTCGAACACTACAAATTTATATATGGTAACAAGTTGTCTCGCTATTTGTTTGTAAGGTATTACTGGTTGGCTATGTTCTTTGAAATGGTAAAACAGTCTGAGTCACCCTAAACATTCTTAGGCTAAATTCCAGCAAAATTGGTAGTCACTTTATTACGTCTGAAAAGTTCTAAAGTTTCAAATCCTTACACAAAACTTTTGATGAAAAGGACACTTTCTGCTGATTTGTGGTAGGACTTGACAAGAAATCCAAGAACTTTTCGACGAAATATTCCAGGCTGTTTAATGCATGTTATGATATCATAGAGAGAAACTGTAGTAAGTTAGCTGTTGCGTGTGCTGGCGCAATTGTACGTTCTGAGTAATGGGATAAGTCAGTTTTTCGAAATAGATACTGTCACGTAACCGAGTACGATGTATTATTCACTAGACCTGGTATTATGAATGAACTGGACTTTCCCAAACTGTGATGAATAAAATTCGGCAAACAGATGACCGTATTGCTTATTAGAATAGGATTTTAAAACTCGAACTGTAGAAGGATAATAAGATATATAAATATATATTCAGCAGAAATAGTCCTAAAATGCAAGGAATTTATCACGGTCAGTTTGCAATGGAAACAACAAAATTAAACGTTATGAACTACGACGTACATTAAGGAGAGAGCTAGCTCTCTCCATAAACGTTTTACAAAAGTGAGGTTTGATAGTTTTTTGGATACTACTTACTGTCCCTTAAGTAGCATGCGTGTTTCCATAAAACCGTACGTCTAGAGCTCTGAGTGCGGTTGAAAGGTCAGAGAATTCCACCTAGAATGATACATATTAGTAGCATATATGAATTGCAGGACCTTGAATGGATGAATGACGTCTAAACCAGCCTCAGTCTTCGGTCACTATGAGGAGTCTCTACATCGTTTATTGGGTTTTACTTTTAAGGTGAAGGCTCATTTGTCCAATTCAAAAAAACCTACCTCAATTGCATCTCAAGGATGAAGGCAGCATTCTCACCAGGAAACTAACTAGATTATTTGAGCGCAGTAATTGTGTAAGAGAATTTTGTGCTGCATAACATGTAAAGCAATCAGTTTCGTTTAATTAAGTTTAAAGTCAGGATCAAAATTTATTTAGTAACTTCACATGGTCAGTCGTGAAACATTATACTCAGATAGTATATCTGGCGCCGCTCAAAATGTCTTTATAAAGGTGGATCACGTTAGTCATCTGGTGATAAGACCACTACGTACACGACCCCGTAGCCAATAAGAAAATTCCTTTTGAAGTGTTTGAGCCACCTTCACAGCTTCTGTCATGAGTGGTTGTAGTCTCTCAACAGGTAACCAAGAAGAGAGACGTGTATGAAGGATTTGAGGCTGACCTTTCCACTGGCCTGTTTGCTCCTCTGTAATTACTCCAGAAAGCTGATGAAGATTGGGAAGACAAACAACGGTTAACTGTGATATACGTGGGTTCTCCTCAAAGCGACAAAGGTCAGCGAACACATGTGAACCCCAAAGACCTGTCACAAGCACAGTAAAAAACCTTTGTATGAGAAAAAGTCATGAGTTCGGTGCACACAAATTATACATACACATTAACAAAGAGTCAAGAGCTATCTATTCAGGTGTTTCATATCGACCTGGTGAATTATTTTTGAAAGACAAATAATTGACCATATATCTAGATCTAAGATCATCAACGTAAGGTAGACTATACCAGTAATAATGATATATTTTTAAAATTCGAATGAGTAGGGAATTGAGTTTTTGACGTCTCATGACAGTGTAAGTCACCTCTTCAGAAAACAAATAGGTAAAATAATCAAATTAACACAAAGTTAAATAGTACACGGGAATATTTTAGTACAATCAAGGCCCAAATATATCTGACCGTTCTAATGTGTAATTTTTGTAGTTACTGTATTTTTCCCTTTTATTCTTTTTCGAGTCTTTTCATATTTCTTGATTCGTCTAGATTTTTATGAATCAAGATAATGAATCCCGCTTTAACTGAAATAAGTTGAAGATGGGAATATGTAATTCGGCGGAAATCAGAAGATTTACGAGATCGTTTAGGTTATTGACATGCTTACGGAATTTTCCTAACAAGATTGTTTATTTGTGAATACATTTTTTTTCAGAAAGATTCGTGATGCACGTTGGAGCATGTCAATAACCTAATCATCACCGGAGAATAGGGTTTTAAGGATATTATCAGTCAGTCAGCAACAAAGTAGGACTTCGTATGTATGTAAATCAGTTCGAGTTGCCGTACCACATTAGCACACATACAATTGTCGATTCAAATCTCATAGTGGTGGAGGTAGTAAAAGTATAAGCAGTAATCGGAAACATCAGGGTTTGAAAATGTTATTCAAGGAGTATAATCCAGTGAGATAGATTTGGAAAGAGAAAAAATAAGGGACATGAAGAATTCAGATTAGAATTTGGGAGAACACAAAGAGTGGATGCACCTGCGCCATTGCAAACGACTATAAGCCATGTCATTTAAGGTCTCTAACCATCGGCTGCTGTCATCTCGCAGATCCCAACCAGGTAGTTTACACCTACCAACATGGCTCAGTCCAATTGTCAGTGATTTCATGCATTTGTGCCATGTTGTGGTCTGGCCACCCTTAGCTTTCTTCCAACCTACTCCTGCATCATGAAACATCGCACGTCGGTGGTCGGGCATACGTAACACATGTCCCAGCCATCTCTACTGATGAAGTTTCACTAATTAATCAATTGATTTGTCATCATTGCCTAGTTCCCGTTTCTTAACAACTGCATTACTTACTCGGTTGTCTCAGGATATACGAGCAATGCTTCGAAGACACATATGACCGAATACTAGTAACCTACGGATATCTTCTACTCTTACCGATCCCTACCGGGATGTTATAGGAAAGTATAAACATGGTAGAAGTATTAGGGAAGGTTTCTTGCAAATTCATAGAAATAATAAACATGTAATGTTGCTCACCAACTGTAGCTGCACTGACGAGGTAATCCATTTCAATTCCAGCATCAGTTAAGGCAAGTGTAGTTGCATTTACAGCACAAGCAAACTCAGAGCCATCTGACTGAATAACTTCAAGAAAAATATCTATTTGAGACATTGGGTATTTTTCTGTCCTGATGACACATGAAAATATCTCCTACATAGGTGTAAAATAAGATAATATCCGTCGTAAAAACCTTAATATCATAAAAGAGGCGAAATAAAAATACTCGAAGTCCAGGATTCTAGAAACACAACTAAGAACCATAACGCGCAGGCAAAATATGAATCGGTGAAAAAATGATATCTGAGTAGAAATTTCATTTCGTATACACCTTGAATAAACACATCTCATTATTTAAGTATCCATTTTGTAAAATCTCGATTTCTAACCAAAATCTTCATGTTAAATAAACGACTTACGTGGTTGTGGAACTTGTTCGAAAATACGGTGACTGTCCATGCTCTAAAACTTGTTTTTTTTTCACTTCAGGAATTACCTAACATGTACAAACAATCAATATATATGTATTTATACGACAAGTCATTTAAGTCCGCTGTACTTTTAGGGTGGATACAATAAAACATAACCAGATTGTGTGCTAGTCTTAGGTTTTGGGGAACGATTATTTTATTTGAACACATAAATATTGGTACAAGGGGGCACCATAAATATATGCGCCACACAAAACAATGGGAATGGGAAGAGAAAAAGAAGGTAAGCTGTGTATAAGAAAAAAACAACAATAAAAACCACAGATTAGTGTATGGTAGTGTAATAATAATAATAATGAGGGAAACGCAAAGGTACAATCAGAAGAAATCTTTCAGTTAAGGAAGATACAACTACTTTTTATGAAGAAAGTAAAAGAAGGTTACGGCAGGATCGCCATTAGCTCCTATTCTGAGCCATATCTTATAACGTCTCTAGCCACTGTGTTGCACCATCTCTCGGACCCCAGCCAGAAAGTTCTGGAGGATCATCAGAAGCCAGCCCTTTGCAGCTTTCTTTCATACCACGACACTATGTCATACACTGACCACCTTTCCGCTTTTTCCAACCAGTCCCAGCGTCGGCAAGTGATGCACGACGTGTAATTCTCTGGGACGACATTCGTAGGACTTGTCCAAGCCACCGAAGTCGGTGTTTCAAGATGGTGACACCAATTGCATTATCGTCTCTGTGCCCGAACACACGATGCCGAACTTCTGCATTACTAACATGGTGTTGCCATTGGATGTCAGCAATCCTTCGGAGACAGCGATGATCAAACACAGAGAGTCGTCTAACATCAACAACTAGGAGAGGCCAGGTTTCACAAGCATAGAGCAGAATTGCTCTCACTGACGCTATTGTATATCCGACCTTTTACAGCCAAACTGACATCACGAAGGCGCCAAAGATGGCCCAGATTGGCATAAGCCGCTCTGGCTTTCACTATGCCTGAATTGATCTCATCAGTTACGCCACCACCAGCACTTATGCAGCTACCTAGATACACGAACTTTTCGACTACTTCTATCTGCTCACCATCCAGGGTGAGTACAGGATTGGAATCCTGCCAGTCTTGTAGAAGTAATTTGCACTTCGAAGGTGCAAAGCACATACCATACCTACGGACACTGATTGCCAACTGATTAAGTGCGGATTGCATGGCTTGGGCATTATCGCACAGTAAGACAATATCATCCGCATACTCAAGGTCGAGAAGTCTTTCTTCAGGCAACAGATCCACACCACTATTACCTACATCCATCAGAGCTGTTTCAGAATGTCATCGATGGCAAAGTTGAAGAGGAATGGTGAGATTGGGCAACCCTGTCTAACCCCACTGCTTGGATGGAACAATGGGGAAAGGTGGTTGTATGCTCTCACTCTGCTTGGTGTTTGTATATAGGGCTTTTAGGATGTTAATAAATTTCTCAGGCACACCCTTCTTCAATAAACAATCCCAGAGAACAGTCCTATCCAACAAATCGAAGGCAGACCTGATGTCCAGAAACACTACGATTGTTGGCCTTTGATAAGTATGACGGTGTTCTAACATTTGGCGGAGGGTGAAGATATGATCAATACATCCTCGACCAGAACGAAAACCAGTCTGCTCCTCGCGAGTCAATCTTTCTCGGGTTTTGAACAACCTACGAAGTATGACGGAAGCCAATAGCTTGGACGCAATCGGAAGTAGACTTATCCCCCGATAGTTGCTACAGGAACGACGTGAACCATTTTTAAAGATAGGGACAACTATCGACTCATTCCATGACGTTGGTACGCTCTCTAGTTCCCAGACCTTTGTGAACAACGTCGTCAGATCCTTAGCCAGAAAGTCACCACCATCTTTAAAAAGAGCCGGAGGTAAGTCATCTAGGCCCGGTGGTTTGTAGCGCTCCAAGAATTGAATTTCCTCGCGGACTTCCGCCTCATTTGGTGGATCAATCGTCACCGGCCATGAGGGCAGGACAGTCTGACCGATGTTGCCGGAGCAGCAGGCCAGTTGAACTGCCCTCCGAATAATTCTGCCCATCGTCCAAGACGTCGATGGATGTTAGTGATTGGCATCCCGTCATCCTCACAGGTTGTTTCGCTCACACCAGACTTCTTGCTGCCAGTGGCTCGGATGAGCTGGAAGAGCTTCCGGTAGTTACCAGATGCAGCTGCTGCTTCCAGCTCATTAGCACGCTCCGACCACCAGGCTTTTCGGTCATTACGCAAGCTTTGTTCAATTTCATTGCGTAACATACTTCGTTTGTGGTCAAACTCACGGCCACCCGGAGTAGACCGACGGGCTTCGATGAGTTGTTAGGAGCCTAAAGAAACCTAATGCTTATAAGCGGGACGTTTCGCGAAGCCGCAAGCGGTTTTACTCGCCATTTTGATGGCGTCGTGAAGTTGCAACCAATACTCATCTATACTTTTTGGTGGAATGGTAGCTAGCCTAGAAGCTAGCTGGGTTCGATACTTACTTGCAACAGAAGTTTCTACCCGCTTGCAAAAATCAATCCGTTGATGGCAGTCACTTTGTTGGCCACTGAAAAGTAAGGTTCTTACCTTGGCACAGACCAGGGCATGATCAGAGTCCAGATAGGTACTCCAAAAGGAGCGGCAGTCTTGTACACAACCACGCCAGCGGTAGCTGATCGCGATGCGATCAGTCTGAGTCCAGGCTTGAGATGCAGAAGGAGGACGCCAGGTGGCACATCGGCGATGACTGTGCCGGAAATTAGTGCTGGCCAGAAATAGGTTGTGGTCCGTGCACAGTTGCAGTAGACGGTCGCCGTTATCTGTCCTGCGACCAACAAGTCCCCATCGACCAATTAAACGACTCTCGTCTGTGCCTAGACGCCCGACTTGAGCATTCAAGTCTCCGGCTAGTACTAAAATATCTGTCGAACGCACTTTCTGGAGAAGAACAGTTAACTGGTGGTAGAATTCATCCTTGACTGCATCCGGGCTGCAATCTGTTGGGGCATAGGCGGAGATGACGAAAATATATCGTTTTTCACGCCGATTTCTCACTTTGATGGAACTTTCTAATCTAATAGCACATAACCGAGTGTTAATGGGGACCCAATCGATTAGTGCTGCCTCAGCTCTAGCGCTTAGTGCGAAACCAACGCCAGCAAGACCAGACGAAGATGCCACAGGGTCACCGGATAAGCGCACGTAAAACAAGCTTTTTGAAGCGATAGATCGAGAGCGAATTTGTAGTACCTCACCAGTCTTGAATACGGGTCTCCAACAGACAACAAACGTCGATATTATGACTTTCCAAAGACATAGCCAGCCCTATCTGTTGTCCAACCTGCATAAGTTTGCGAACGTTGAAGGCAGCCAGTTTGAATAGTGCACGTGGCTTCAGAAAAACTGCTTCAGTATTCGTGTTTGGTGGTAGCATACAATTTTCAACCAGGCAGTGACTCGAGAACGTTTAGGTAGAACCGAGTTTCCACCATAGGCGAGCTGCTGTATAAGTCGAAAAATAAGGATACATAAAGCGGGAATAAAAGAGTGAATAAATGACGTAGTAAACAATAATAATAATAATAATAACAATAATATGAATTGTCTGACTGTAAATCGAGGCGAGAATAGAGTTCTCAGTAAATACCATCATTTTCATTTTATTTTTGTGTGAGCTGTGATACTGCCTGGGTGCCCAGACCGAAACAGGTGGTATTCGTAGGAGGCCACACCCCGAGCTTTTGACCTAAAGGTCTAACCCACAAGGTAGTGGAGCATCGTGAGGAGATGCAGTCCCATGGTAGCCGGTGACCAAGAAATTGGTTCATACGCCGTTTGTTCCCACAGAATATTAGAGCCCATGTGCACCATTGATTTGGGATCCGGTTAAAGCGCCGGACATCCGCTTTTCGTCCTCTCATTTTCATAAACAACACCCACGCCACGAGAAGGCAGTGAGTAGGATTTCCCTCGCAGAAGCTGTATACGCGTGACCGTGTGAGAGTATTTCGAGAGGGAGGGCGGGCCCACCCCACACTCGGTCATACCAGGGCATTTGGAGGAATGTTTCCAGATGGTTTAGTGGTACTTTTTACAACTCTACTAACCATCAAATCGTACTGCGTTAAGATCGAGAATTTTAGTCTAATAGACAATGAATGATGGATTTATCATAGGGGTAGGTAATGTTTCGTTTATGTTGTAGTCAGAGAAGACGTTATTCCTACCACATAGCATGTGTAAAATTATAAGATCCACCTGCTAATACTCCGAGATAATTTTAGGACGATTAATCATTGACTTCGGTGGAAAAGCGCTTCTCATCATAAATATAGAACAATTTAATTAATATGAGTATGCTTCTGCTAACATGGGTTGAAGCAAACTAGAGAAACAATGATTTACCGATACGCGCAATACGCTTATAGTGTCGACTATAAATTAAAACCAACAATAAGACAGCTTAAGAAATTCGATAGAGCATAACTAACTCCATTTACTTCTCAAGATAAAAGCACGTCCAGTACTTTTCACTCGTTAATGAGCATACTCATGAACTAACGAGGGACATATTATTGGAAAACCTTAAATCAACTATCGAACTATTCATAGTAAAAATAAGTTAGTTCTAACGAAAATTTAACTTAAGATTTTCGTCACCTCAATGGCAGTAGCAAAATCATTCGCTGATCTATCATTTGATGACAGTTTGCGACGTTCCCCTGAAGTTGATGCGAACGGAGGCTTGGTAAATTGGCACGTTATCGTTGCACCATCTGGAACACCATCACCTTTTGCTCTAGGAGCATGGGGCCCAACCACGGATGCAATCACCTTGGTATTCCCTAAAGTAGTTAAATATACGGATTTTGGAAATCGATAATTAGTATTACCTTGATGCAGAAATACAATCCCGTCAGAATAACCCGAGCCAAACTGACAATCCACTCGTCTAATTTCATTTGGTCGGCGACCGTCAACTCTCCTACCATTATAAAATATTTCAGCCATCACACGTCCTTTTCAAAAGTTCCCCATTTCCCGAAGGACATACCTAAGTGTTTCAAGGTAAAATATCTGCCAAACACATTGAATTTTAGAGCTTGTGCCTTGGTTCAAGGTAGAGGTTTAGATGATACTGAAATTTATGAAATACCTTTGAGAGATACTAAAGTGATCTTGAGAAACTCCAACCGCTGACTAGGGTCAGAATAGGATCATAAATGTGCGTACGGAATAAGATTTCAGATTCAGATTTGTGTAGTAAGAACAAAAGACTAATGGCCCATGTTATTCGTTTTCTAGTGCATTTCTGTGAGTTTCTAGTCCTCTCTTTAATGGATCGATTGAATGAGCTGATACCAGTGCTACGGGTAACAGGTTCCAAAAATTGATGACTGTGTGAAAACCTGTATTTCACGGGTATTCTGTTGGTTCTTAGCTTTTCTATTTGCTCACGTTGCCTTTTGAGAATTCTTGTTCTGATGTGATGAAAAAAAGAGGATATATAAGTTCGAAATCATTTCTTAGTAATCTATACATCAAAATCAGATCACATCTTAATCTACGATGGGACAGGGTAAAAAGGTCTAGCTTTCTAAACTGCTCTTTGTACGGTAAACCGTCCACCTCCAACGTCTTTTCCCTTCTACAGTAGGATGTTGATGGTATCCAGTCAACGGACATTTAGTATCCGGCGTGAACAACTGTTCACAAATACTTGTACCTTATTGATGATGGTTGTGGTGGTTCTTCAATTGTTAGCTTCGTACAATAAGACTGTCTTGACGTTCATACCAAAGATTCTGACTTCGATGTTGGTCGACAGCTGTTTTGGGTTCCATATGTTTTTTAACTATAGGAATGCTGTCCATGCTTTTCCAATCCACGGCTTTACGTCTGCATCCAATCCTCCTTGTTTGTCGATGATGTTACCCAGATACGCGTAGCTTTCCACCTATCCCACAGTTCCTCTATCATGTGTGATTCGTTTAGTATTCTCAGTGTTGTATCTTAGGATATTGCTTCTCCTTTTGTGTAGTTTGGAACCTACTGATGCAGAAGCTGTTGTTACACTGGTTAGATATACCTACATTTGTTCATGTTTATGAAATACAACGTCCAAGTCATCTTTAGAGTCCAAATCGTCTAGTTGCATGCATGCTGTCAATTGTATTCCGTGCTTCCTCTGAGATGTGGAGCTCTTCATAAATCAATCAATTACCAGAAGAAAGAGCAAAGAGGACAGTAAGCAACCCTGCCTGACTCCGGTCCTCTTTTGAAATGCATCTGTCAGCTGTCCTCCACTCATGATTTTGCAGTGTAGTCCGTTGTATGAACTCCGGACTGTGTTGTCGAATTTCTCAGGTACTCCATAGTGTCGATGAAGTTTCCATAAGATCCTCCTATCTACACCGCCAATTGCTTTCTCATAGTCATGAAAGTTGATGTACAGTGACGACTTCCATTCATTTGCTTATTCAACAATTATCCGTAATGTCACAATTTGATCTGTGATAGATTGATCCTTACGGAATACGATCTTTTGATCTCGAAGTTGAGCACCTACTTAGTCTTTCATCTAGTTCAGCAACACTGCTGAAAACATTACCTGGTACCAATGGTAGTATGATGCATCTATTGTTCACTCAGTTTATTAAATCTCCTTTCTTCGCTATGTTGATAAGATATCTTTCTTTCCAGTTAGTAGGCGCTTGTTTTTTATTACCATATTTCACTAAAGATAAGGTGCAGCATCATTTCAGTTACTTCTATATCTAACTTTACTACTTTAGTTGGTATAGTGTCAGGTTCTGCTGCTTTCTCACTTCTGAATTGTCTAGCTACCATCTTGACTTCTTCGATCGTTGATAGAGTGACATTTATAGGAAGGTCTGTAGGTGCTACTTCGATGTCCGGTGAACTCAATAGAACTTGTTTGTGAAAAAGTTCCTCAAAGTGTCCTATCCATCTGTTATTCCATTCCCGAATCCCACTTATAACTAGCTTTCTATGTGCTTGACTGTTCTCTCTCGTTTGGTTTATTTCACTGTCACTTTCTTTGTTGTGTCACATGGTTGTTCCATATATCCTTCCCTTGCAGCTTATTTCACTGTCTTTGCTAGCTCTTCCACGTATTTATACTTTTCGGCTCTAATTCCACTCTTCACTCGCTTGTTTGCTTCAGTGTATTCAGCTTGTGCCTTGACTTTCTCTAATCTCGTTTGGATGTTAATAATTCCTATCCTCCTGTTCTTATCTTCCTGAATCTTGTCTAGGGTTTTGATGGAGATTCATTCCGTGTGATGATGTTTGTTCCGACTCGGAACCTTCTAACACGTTGAAGTTAATGCTATCTTAATCCGTTTCCAGTTGTTCACCGTAGTAGTTTCTTCTTCTTTGAATACATCTTGTAAGGCTCGGAACTTGTCGTTGAGATCTCTCGTGAATTCGTTGACTTTATCAGTATCTCGAAGGAAGGCTCTATTAAACTCGTGTAATGCTGTTTTTGCAGATTGTTGAGTCCCTTCCTTGGCATTTCGTTTCGATTGATTACGGACTCATATAACTAATCTTCATTGCTATTGTTGGTGAGTGCATAGCACTGGATAAAAATTATTGAGTTACCTATCTTTGTTTTGAAAGATTCTTTGATGATCCTGAATCCTTGAAATTTTCATCCTATAAGTGCTTTTCGCTCTTCTCTGGACAGCATCAGAGAAACTCCCTGAGTGTGTGGAACATTTTCTTCTTTGTAACCAGAGTTCAGTAGCAACTCTCCTGCATCTCACCTTTTCTGTCCAGTTTGGGTTTAATGGGTTTCTCTGATTCCGAGTATTGTCAAGTTGAATTCCCTTATTTCTGTCCCTATTTGACTGGTCTTCCCAATTTACCATATTGTTCGAATATTCCACGACCTATATCATTTGTTTATCTGGTTGTCAGAAGAGGCATCAGCCTCGTAGCTTCCGAAGAATATCGGCTTTCATCACGAGGTGTCTTCATTTTTCCTTCAGCCCCCAGTCAACAGTGACTTAATTTGCTCGTTAGCGTCTCATTAGAGTTGTTTTATACGGGATGGGGTTTCTGGTCTTTTACTAGTCTAGTTGTCGTTTACCTCATTCCGGACTAACAAGCGTGTTGTTTCCTTCCTGGCAAACTACAACGATGGTAAAACTGGTGTGGAAACTGGTAAGTTGTGCTAATTAGAAATCACCAACGGTCATGTAAACGTGATTTGACAAAAATTGTCGTTGATGGGTTGAAATATCTACTTCTAGTTTCGATTTTCAGTGTCTTAATCTTTCGATTGTGTCGTTGACGATTGCTGTCAATTGCTTTGTTAACAAATGTAAGTGCATCGTGTAGGTCTGCTGAGTCATCAACCTTTTTAGTTCTTTCTTCTGACCCTCCTCACGTAACTCTGTATGCTCCCCTAGTACATTAAGTGGGTACGAACCACTTCATCGGCCATTATTTTCAAGGCATGAGACATAAACCACTGGTACGCTTGACCTTTTGAGTGAAACATATATATGTGAATACATTTATATGTGGTTGAATTCAGCATAATAAAGGTCCTTTTATTTTTATCGAGTGGTCGCGCTCATGTATAGAAAGTGTATGTATCAGTACCAACACTGGAACACGACGGGTTCTAAAGGCTTTCTGTCAAAGGACATTCAGCTCAGTTCTGGGAAATAAAGTTCGTAATTTGCAATGATTACATAATGTATTCTGGAATCAACGATTACCGCATCAATGTCTGTATACAGGCGTGCTCATCTTGATGTACTTAGTGATATTAAATGTAGAAGACACTTAAGTTATCTGGTCGTTTTGAGCGTTCTACTTCAAAAATTGTGTAAACAGTATAATTTGCGCGTCTTACAGAATTGAAAATCTTCATCGGGGAACATTCACTTTTTTAATTGACATCCTGTTAACGTACGAACGGTCATTTAAGATCATTTCCTGCCACTCAACAAACTAATTTTAGACATATACAATCATAGATAGCAAAGTCGGAATGGAGAGCACGGAACAGCAATAGCAGTTAGTACTACAACGTACAGGTCAAGCGTGCCATAATACATGTGTCAGTTTATTTTATGATATGCTAGATATTAGTCAATTTGTTTAATTTTTCCAGGGACGATAGTATTAAAAACGATCAAACACTTAAACTTCCCATTATGTCGCCTGAGGGATTGAATATACTTACAGATGTAGGCATATTTAAGATATTTTTAGAGAAGTAAGCGTCGATGCAGTGAGCAGTGGATGAGAGTGATCTCATGTTACGGACAGACTGCGGTAAATTATTCCAGATTTTTGAGAATTTGACGATGAAGTAGTTCATAATGAAAGAAGATATGGAATGAGATTGTTTCACTACTGACACAAAGTTACGGATTCTGCTTCTCTCCCTTTCCTTGTTCTCTCTCTTTTTCAGCACCATAGTATACCACAGAAAATATTTGTGAAACACCCGACTTTGCTCTACGCCATCATTTATACCTTCGGAATTCATCTGGGATCATCATCCAGAAGTACAAATGACTACGTTCAAGTTAACTTCTTCGAGTTTTCAAGTTTTCAACATTGGATGCTGACCATATGTTTTAGTGGACTCATCTAGCTGAAGGCGCTCGGTCATGCATCCCCACCAGATCATGTGTGGTGACGCTGTGCTCAACATCAACCGCGATCGCTAGTCAGATTAGATCAGAGAATTCCGATATATTGGTTATCGCCAAATACACTCTTCTAATCTCCTCGACTCTGTCTTTTGATTTCTCTTGATGGGTACGAATTATATTAGAAGGTGTTGCTGGTAAAAGTCAGGTTGAGCGAAAACATCGGTTGATTGTGGTCGAGTGGAAGCAGGTTTAACTGAACGCATTGCGTTTGTAAGCCTGTTCGTGTAGGAGGTTAGATCCTTGTTTATCGAAGAGGATGAAGGATCCACGAATTCTCCTGGAAGTCGAAGTGTCGTTCCATAAACGAGTTGAGCCTCAGTGTATCCAATGTCAGCTTTCACTGCAATGCGAATACCTAGTAAGACGAGTGGAAGAGCGTCGGTCCACTGCAAAACATTTGCAGCTGATAGTGAAGCTTTTAGTTGTCGGTGAAAGCGTTCTACCAACCCGTTTGCTTGTGGATGGTAGGCGGTCGTTCGGAAGCGAATGATTCCTAAAGGTATGGTCGGACGACGGAAAAGTTCAGACTCAAACTGACGTCCGCGGTCTGTGGTGATGGTTGAAGGGCAGCCGAAGTTTTATACCCATCGTTCGACGAGGGTTCGGGCCACTGTTTGAGCAGTGATGTCCCTGATAGGTACTGCTTCTGGCCATCGAGTGAGACGGTCTACTTGGGTTATGAGGTAAGAGTGTCCGTTTGAAACTGGTAAAGGTCCTACCAAATCCAGATGAACATGGTGGAAACGAGCATTGGGAGTTTTGAATGAGCCTAAGGGACATTTATCGTGTCTGATAACCTTAGATTTTTGGCAGCTTACACAGGAGCGTGCCCACTCCCCCACGTCTTTATTCATGCCAGGCCAGCAAAACCATTCTGCTGTAAGCTTGATGGTTGTACGAACGCCTGAATGAGAAAGTTTGTGCAATTTATTGAAGACATTGAGTCGATAATGTTTCGACACGATTGGGCGACCCCCACCCGTAGATGTGTCACAAAGTAATGTTTCCTAACCTTTTCTCATATGTTTGATGCGTAGTTTCAAGGTTGTAGACGATAACTCGTGCTGAAGATCAGTGTCTTCTTTTTGAAGCTGAGCGAGTTTAAGAAGGTTGATTCCTTGGAAAGCGTTCAAGGAAGTTATGCGAGACAAGGCGTTTGCAACTACATTGTTTGCTCCAGAAATATGTTGAATGTCTGAAGTAAACTGCGAAATGTAGTCCAGTTGTCGAGACTCACGAGGTGAGTACTTGTCTGAAGAGGAGCTTAAGGAGAAAGTGAGAGGTTTATGGTCAGTAAAAAGGGTGAATTCACGGCCTTCGATGTAGTGTTGAAAATGCCGTACAGCACAATACATAGCTAGGAGTTCCCTACCGAATGTGCTGTACCTCGCGTCGGTGTCTAGCAACCATCTAGAGAAAAATGCCAAAGGTTGCCAGGAGTTGTTAACCCATTGTTGTAAGGCTCCTCCGATTGCTGAGTCGGATGCGTCTACTGCGATACTAATGGGTGCTCGGGTGTCCTGATGTGCAAGACTAAAGGCATCGTTGTCGACGGATGTGAGGAAACAAGCTGTAATTTTATCCTTGACACATTTTCTTGCCGTACACGAAGTTTTACATCGACCCGTATGGTGTTCAAAAACCACCACTTACGTTTACATTTCGTAGTTCAACAAAAGTATTTTGCCCTATATGACCAAAAACTTCAGACTGGTTGCAGAGAACAATGTATATTGTTCAGTTATTGATTTTTAAAAGAAATTCGTTATTCGTTTGTATAAGTAATCGGTCAAACTTTTGTTCCTCATGTTGATTAGTATTCTTAGTAGGAACTCACTTATAAATCAGACGCCATTCTGAATTATCAGGTTTTCCTAAACGATCACTGAATAAGAGAAATAGTCAATCTTAATATTTTGTCACAATACTTTCATAATAAAATTTCATTTGATAAAATGGTTATTGTCTGTAGTTATTCGAACGTCAAATGAAATGCTCCTCGAATTACGGTCAGTTGATTTACTAGCCATATGTATAAACCTGAATTTTAGACTTCCGTTCGTTCTAAAAATTAGCAAAAATAGCATTGTTCATTCTGCGAACACCATTCATGTACACGATTTAGTCACATAAATTGTCAGTCATTTTCTCAACATCTCACAGGCAATGACTGTTCAATGAGACCAAGTACCGGCTTCCTAAATGTTTGTTGTTGATAACACAATCTCAACTACTGAAGTCACTGTTTGACCCCTTTATATGTAGATTAATACCTGTCATAAATAAGTATTATTTAGACACAGGAAGGACAAAGCATTTGTCACCAATTTACCATTCTAAAACGTAAAGCGTCCTTGTTTTCAGACAGCAATATTATGAACTATTTTATTGTTCTTGTCTGTATGAATAACAGAATTGTTAGGTGCTCTATTGAGCTTTTCTTTAAGTGCTGCCAAGCTGTAAATGTTGTCACTTTTTATTGGCTACTGTTTGTCAAAAAGCGTTATCAAATTGAGATCAAATGAATCAATAATTTGTTAGGTTTTGATGCATATATACATCTTTAAGACTATTGTTTTTTGCTATCTAATACTATAATACTATGAAAGTATTTTGCTTAAAGAGGGGAAGCTCACCTTTTAAATCGAGGAGTTTTGTTATTACAATTACTGGTTTAATTATCACTGTATTTATCTATTTGTTATCCATGACAGTGCTAACAAAAGATATAAAAAATACTCAAAATCTTCAGAAAGTAACCAAAGTTAGTTTATTTACTTTTTATTTCGACGTCTTTTTAAACGTAAATTTTTTCTCATTCGTACTATAATTTCGGTAGTTTTGATGGTTTAATAGACAACATTCAACTGGAACAGTAATATGTGCTTTTTGGAATTTCTGGATGAAATGTAGCTGTATTCAGTCACATTATGGTTAATGAATCGGTAGGCGGGAAACCGTGAACCTATTATAAACATATAACCATGTTTATAATTTAAGTGAAAGAATTTATGTGGTAAAGTTCTTTAAATAGTAGGAATTTGATTCTGGTGAGTTACTTTCCTATAAGCTAGGTGGAGATTGAAAAATTGATATTAGAACGTAAAATACTAAAGGTCAATAATTACTTAATAGCTCATGTGTTCTTCAAGATGAGATGAGGTAAGAAGTGAGTTAATGATGTTCAGACTTGTTAAACGATATACCTCGATAACTATGTGTTTCAGCTTCTGAAGTAGTTTATGGATTTCTGATCACCTTTCCAAACATATAAACAATAATACTTTACTAAATACTGGTTTGCTTCTGTTTTTAGAACTACTTTCATGTTAATGAATATACAGATGAAGTCTTTGCAATTGAACCACCTATTTCAGAAAACACAACACGGCCAAATATAGTTAGAAATAAATATTTAGTAAATCATCGTCACTGTACCCAATATTACTGCAGAATAGGTGATACCACTCTCTAGATAATAAATACACTGTTTATAAACTCATGCTTCAGAAGAGTTAAATTTAAATGAACTAATCTCGAACTAGTCATATTTTACATAAATTACGGGATACAAAATCTAAGTTGTAGTTTGGTTGGTGTTGACATAACTAAAGCTATTCACAGCTGTTCATCTATAAACGATGCTCAGTTTTTCAAGTTTAAGAAAAGATAAAATACAACGTTTTGCGAGTCTTATTCCTATGCTTATTTCATCCTTATTTATCGTATCCTATCACTATTGTTATCAATATTATTTTCAGAATAATAAAATTCATATAGTTTCACTGATTGAAGGTGATAAAGACTTCAATTATATAAATGTACTGATCAAATCTATACTGTATCACCAAAAACGTTTTCATTGTCAAAATAACAAATGTTGTCTAGGTGACTTGTGCAAACGAAGCAAGACTGGAAACTTTCCATGTTCATATAAGAAAATACTGAAGACCGATTGTTCGATAACTTTCCATTTTATTACTGATAAACCCACACGACTGAAATTTCAAAAAATGGAACAAAGTTGGCAATTGATAAATGTGAAATTCCAATTTTACGAATACCAACATTATTTGGTTTGTTCGTTTGTTATCATTATTTTGTTTTTTTGTTTGTGTACAAGTTATACCACTTGGTGAAGCGTATTAAAAGATACTTCACGTACAACTCAAATGATTACTATCACACGGTTTTTATCATTATAATTACTATATCCAACTTTGTGATGTAAGAATGTTGGATATTATAATCCAATGATCAATACTTCAATTGTTTATAATGTATTGAGCTGAGGTAATCATGCCTATTGAAGGTGCTCACATTCCTTTCTTAGCTGAGAAAATTGATAGTAAGACTAGGTTCTATCACGTAGAAACTGTTAATCTTTATTTTGAAAATTCATGTAAATTTGTCTAATACTTTGTTGAGTCTTCGTAAGTTTACATTGTTAAATGTAGAAAAGAATGAAGCCAGTTCCACGTTTGCAAGAAAACTATTACTTAAAAATACCATAAAGCCATGAGCATAAGAAAATGTTTCCTAATATTTTAAGGCACAATGATAATAAACTTATACCAATACTTAACCCTTTTTTAGACCTATATGTTAGGAGATTGAGAGTGTGATTCAGACAGAAAAATGTCCTCTATAATGCAAATGCTTTATTGTGTTACTTAACTATAAAAAGTGTACCTAATGATCAAGGGTTTTAAAGTTAAATCGTATATTCATTATAAAAGCATACCCCGTAAGAACACTGGAACGAGTACAATGAATCTGTAATGATGTTTTTATTTATATACTCACCCGTTATTAATCCGCTTTTCTTCTTGCAGGATAAAATTGACGGGGTTCTATCAAAACGTTCTTCAGGTATTAAATCTTGTTTAAAATTATTATTACCCGAAATTCTTCCGAAAAGTGTCAAACAGGTATTGTCGTATTGATGTTAATGTTTTAAAAATGTTACGAATGTTTTTATAAGAAATATATGAAAGGATATTGATAAGCATTTTGATAGGTAATCATTCATTTACTTAACCATGATAAAATTCAGAACATTTAGGACAGTCCCTAGTAAATCGTTAAAATAAATTTCGAATTCCGAACAACTACTGTAATTTCTTCTGACGAGGATAATCGTGTTTTAACTTACGTTATTTTATTTCCTCTGTTAGCGAGTAGATCGGATTAAATGAATTTGTTTGCTTATAAACCACCATTTTGGCAATTATGCAAAACAATTATTAAGTTTTATACACATAGCTCCTTTTATTATCTTAAGGAGAACAAGAACAAAGATCGGTTTAGAATAATATGAATTCATTTTGTTTCGTTAAGTCCTCATCAGCTGCTTACAACCTAAAATATTTGAAATTCAACATTATTACAGATATTGACATTTGTATACATAAGAGGGTGATTAAGGATGAATATATGTATCATGATGTAGCGAAGATTTCAATTGAGTTAACAAAGTCATAACAAATTTTTGTTTCAGATGAATAAAGTTTGGGAGGGAAAGTTCCAGAACATTGAAATAGTGATTAGAACTCATTAGATGATTGTGTAATGAAGCAGCTGAAAGTAGATTAATGGTAATAAAGAAAGATATGAGTTGAGACTAGCCAGCTATGAACTGAAGAAAAGTGACAATGATGTAATTTAACTTCAGGAAGAGTTGAAATAATGAATGACGTAATAAATAAAATGAGGGTTTAATGTTACCAAGGCAAAGGAAGATTTATTACTGCCTCCTTTTGAATACATGGATCTGGTTTTAGACATTTGATTGCTGTCACTTCGGCAAATTTCAAAAGGTTGGAGTTTGATTGTTTGTTAATCACCTTGAAGGACTTCATCGTATCGACCCCATGTCCTGTGTCAAGGAGATGTCTTGGGATGGACATATGTCCAAAACAACATGTTCTTCAACACAATCAAAGATCTATAGGTATCCCTTTCATGTTACCACCAACTGTGTATACAAATTTACTGCCAAATCAGTTACATTGGTAGAACAGAAATGAGAGCCTACGTCCGATTCAAAGAACATATTCCGAAAAGTTTAAGATTAAATGGATTAAAAGCATTCAGCAGTGCCATCGTAAGATATCCTTTTGACACAGGACATAATGTCGATACGGTGAAGTTCTTCAAGGTAATTAACAAACAATCAAACTCCAAACTTTTGAAATTTGCCAAAGCGATAGCAATCAAATGTCTAAAACCCGATCTATGTATCCAAAAGGAGACCTAAGGAAATAAAATGAATTCATATTATTCTTCACCAATATTCGTTCTTGCTTTTTTTAAGATGATTATTAAGTTCGTTGTGGTCAGTAATGTCTTTTATCCAATCGCTATCTGAACAAACTTCAGTTTCGGTCATAAGAAGTCATGTTTCATACGAATAACTTGGTTGTATTCTGTTTAGTACAGCAACAAAAGTACGTTATTATGTATGAATTGAAGGTGAGAGATGAAGTGGTTGCCATTTTATACTGTAGATATTACAATTCATTATAAGCAGTTAGCAGTAAATAAACCCTTTAATAAAATTACATCTCCTTATTGGGATGAACTATTAAAAAAAGTGAAGTTTAGGATTTACTCATTATACTTCATTTCGCAGGCGAACTTCATTGGGAACAAAATGTATTTTAAAGATATTCAACTAGTGAGTTCGTAGTTTTAGGGATCACTTTTATTGTAGAAAATTTCTTAACTTATCTCTGTTTGGAGAAATGTCAACTAGCTGGAGGATATTTCAAAACATATATATGAGCAGATAAGTTTCGTGGAATCCCAAGATTCCTTTTTTATATTCGTTAATAAGTATATATCTACTCTGAATTATTATCAAATTAATTGGGAAGATTAAAATGGAATTTCATCAAAATCATGAGGCGATCTAAGTTAGACCACCGTTGCAAACCTAGAAGCAGTAGACGGCCGTTTTGTCCTAGTATAAGATTTCTCAGAAGTGCGATTCCACGATCCTGAATGCGGGAATCAAACACGGGACCTATTGTCTTGCGCGCGAACTCCTCAACTCTAGACTCTTGACTCTATATCCAACGGCGTACAAGTCTAATTTTAATAAATCCACGAAATTGCGCGACAATTCATCATTGTTCTCAGTGTGTAACCGCTTAATATCTGACGCGGCTTAGCTCTAAAGACAACGGCTACTAACTATAACTCTGGAAATCCCATCTCGGAACTGGTCACTAGTGAGCATATGATAATTGTCAGTAAGGGGTTGTTGAGATTGTTTAACCTGAGGAGTTAAATACTAGGACGAAATTGCCGTCCAGTGCTTCCAGGTCCTCAGTGGCGGTCTAGCTTAGATCACCTTATGATTTCAATAAAATTCAACAATCTCCACAACCTCTTAATGATAAAAGAATATCCCTCATAACGTTTGATTTCCATATTATTCTTAAAACCCCCATGATGGCTAAATCAAAAAATATATGCATGCTTTATTTCATTGTTGATCGTAGATTACTGTTGACTTAATTATCTACCCCTTGACGTCAATTTTGACCTGTATAATTGATATACCTATTTTCACATACCATTCTCATATATTGGTTATCAATCTAGAATATTTCAGGGCTTTGTTCTAAACTCAAATGCGGTATCGTCAACACACTTCACATATATCACTAGCTGCACGTAGTCTTTCGCTGCTAAGTTTAACACAAAACTTTTAAAGAACACATACAACATTCGTTATGCATATTTGCTGAACACAATTAACTGTTCACTTCGTGGTTTGTTTAAAAAGAGGTTTAAGTGAAGAACTGAGTAGCATAAATTGGAAAAATGTTACTTTACAGCTCACCAACTTGCCTCTATAATCGTTTGATACATTATCAAGACAAGTAGGTATCGTATCTAATCAAATATGCTCCCATTTATAAATCTGAATTTGAAAGTAAATAGATTTGAAATTACGTGTCTATAACTATTCTCCGAAGAAAATGAATAATAGAATTTTCATGCAATTGTGTATACCATAATTGCAATCTAACAAAACATTACCTAAGTGACATATAAATTAGATAACTTTTCATTAAGAATTCACAGCGAAAATTTGTACGCGTATCCACTGTTTAACAAATATCGTTCAGTTCCAGATGTTTCCAGTTAACTCGATTCAAACAAAGACTAAAGTGGAGGTTCTTAATGCTATTCAGACCCAAGATATCGCTGTCAACGAAGATTATCCAACATAATAGTTGATATAAAGAATAAAATCTTAACACCAGAATCAGTGAAATGTACTTTTCAAACACAAATCTCCCTGGAAATTCAGTTTATAGCAACTATTTTTGTCACAATAATTATTCATTTTCTTTCTAGTTTCAGTAATCGAATTTTAATTGATTACGTTAAAATATCTTTTCAACAAGTACAGTGAGACTCGATAACTATTATCAAATGCAAAATTACTAGCAAATAACTTCATGCGCTTTAATGAAAAGGTCCATTCACCATGCTAACTACATATATAGCCCCATAAGCATGATTTTATTCACAAAAATATTTTGGAGTTGAGAATTATAGTGTTGGATTGTTGCTGATTTAATAAAAATAATGATCACCAGTTATTTTATTTGCATGAAATCAAATCAAAGAAACAACTGATGAAAAGTAGCTCATTAAGCTGAGACTGTAGCGAAGCAAAACCATCTTTCAGATTCTATATTTAAAAGATTGTTACTAACAGTGACATCGTAAGGAAACATTACCTTTCTGCATAGTATATTCTTCTATTCACAAAATATTTTGAAGAAATATTCAACCCCACTAATAATGAATTTGTTAATTATCATATCATGATTAACTTCGGTAAATTTGGAAGCTGAACCTATTTTTGTTGAATTGTTTCAGGTCATCGTTCTTGATACATGTTTGCTGTTAAATACAGACATCAATGAATTGTGGGATCATTTCAGATATTTTAAATCTTCTCATGTAGGTCCTTGTATGATTTTATAAAGATCTTACCATATAGTTAGTAGTTACTAGAGGGTTGTTTGCTTGTTTGTTTGAACACATAAATACTGGTACAAGGAGGCACCAGATACATATGCGCCACACACATCTCATTTGGTTTGTGTGAGGGCTGTGATACTGCCTGGGGCCCAAACCGAAACAGGTGGATTCCTTAGGTGGCCACATCCGGAGCCTTCGATTTGAAAGTCTGATCCACAAGGCAGTGGAGCATCGTAAGGAGATGCAGTCCCATGGTAACCGGTGACCAACGATTGGTTCCTAAGCCATTTGTTCCTTCAGGATACTGGAGCCGATGTGCACCACTGGTTTGAAATCAGGGTTTTCCAACTCTACAATGAGGACTCTCCATGTCCACCAACCCAGTTAAAGCGCCGGACATTCGCTTTTCGTCCTCTCAATTTCGTAAACAACACCCGTAGTGCGAGAAGGCAGTAAGTATGATTCCTAGAATTCTCTGTTAATGAGTGTCCTTTTCATTAAATACTTGTTCATGATATAACCTGTCTTTAGGGATGACATATATTTCGTTTCCAAAAAAAATTAAGCACGAGAATGAATAAACATATAATTTATATTGAGTCGCTACCAACACTTTTTTTTGCAGATTTTAGGAGTGACAATGGAACAAAATCCCGAGTTTGAGGTTGTCATGAAGAGTCTAATTAGAGGCTGGAGAGTAAGTAAAAACAAAAGATTTTTAATTGTAGTGGAGAATTTGTACTTACTATTATTCACAGTAAGATTATTTAGAATCCGCTGATTCCCATCTAGTTAATTTTTTCCCTGATAATGTAAAGTATGCATATATAAGCACATTTGATTTAACCAATTAGAAACATTTGTGCAATTCAATATGTCATGGGAGACGAACACCACAAGTTTGAGTTTCAAGGAGAAATCAAATGTTACATTTCTCCACTTATGTTATAAAAGTTGAAAGTACCAAGCATCTGAATCGGTTTAGCAATTCCACCATAATTCCTCGATCAATTACCCAGTAGACTGTATCCTTCAATACAATAGCAACACCTCCAGCAGTGTAAGATAATTTAAAGAATATCCTTAGTATGATTTTTAATCATGTGTATAAACACTAGTCCATTTTCTGTAGAGTGGCAAGCTTTGTATTTTGTGTATATCAGTTTGTGGAATTCGATTATGATAAAGTATCAACTGTACACACTTGATTTTCCATAAGTAGTACAATAAATCCACAGTTCTGAACAAATCACTACTATTTCGAATTCAAAAATAAATAAATAAGTTCTATAAGGCAGTATTGTAAAACGTGATTTCTTAAAAGTGATAAAAGTATTACAATGTTATATTAGCTATAACTTTTCACAGTAGATTAGACCAGTAAATAGATCCACATAGATCGCATAACACTCCAAATACTCCTGACAGGCTAATTAGGGCATTGACGAAGTGAATGATCATACAGAATTGAAATGGGATAACTAAATTACCCTTAACGCTTTTAATGTTATTTATCTAAAACTGAAGTTCGCATGAACCTACTCAAAGCGTTCAAATAACTGGGTATCAATTTTACATTATTATCAAGTCTAGCAGTTTTCCAATTTTAAAATACCACATAACTTGAAGAGCTTCGAACTATCGATATGTTGATAAAGAAATTGTGTCCTTTTTGTACTAATTATTAACAGCATTTGTGAGAACTTAATCGAGTCAAAATTACTACATGTAAACACCAGAGGACTTAAATCTTAGCTGAACTAACGTCTCTGAACATCTTTAAGATTGATTTGGGTCTCTTAATTACCAACACTGTCCACGTCAGAAGAACTAGTAACCAATAGATGAATTAGTACAGTACTTCACTGCATATAGTAGTGATCCAACTAGGTTATTCGTGGTACTAATTTCGTTCAGACCTAAGATTAACTACACATCCACTTACCATAGCCACTTTCATAATAGTGTTTGTCAGTTGTGGCTATCGTAAATTAATTAAAGTTGAACAGACTCATTGTTCACAAAATGTAAACAGTTTTTAAAAAATCCATTTTAAAGCTTATGTTCAAGTGAATCCAAATTATTGATGGTTAGATAGTTTACTACAAACGTGCATCACATACATCTCAGTTATTGATGCTCAAATCCAAATCAAATAAAAGACAGCATGAATTCGAACCCATTATAATACTTTTTTCGAGATTATTGATTGGTTTTGTTGGTAATTGTTCATAATCTTGAGACAAACTTTCACCACAACTACCTTTAAACGAATACATTAAACTGATATCATTAGTGCCTCACAACTTGGTATGGTTGTAATTATGCATCTTTTGATTATATTACAATGATCAACAATTATATTGTTGTAAGCAATAATGGGTAGTGGCTAGCAGTGGAATCCAAGACGCTCGTTTCATCCATTTTGGGACTCGTCAGCTGAATGCACCTGCATCTCAGAGTTGATGTTCACTCTGGGACTCGAACCCAGTACTAAACGCTTCAGCTACTGAGTCCTGCTAGCCACTTGTTTGTGCAACGGGGTGAATTTAAATTCACTTGGTATTGTTTGGCATGTATCTTCCCATTGAGGTTTAAGACTGCAATCGATCAGTCTGTTATTGGCGTATATGCATACTGTACGTATGCCTCGATATTGCCTTAATTCACAAGCTTTTTGTAAGCTCGTCCCAAATAGGACGAAGCGCGCGTCCTGAATTCCACTGCTCGCCACTATCCATCATTGCTTACAAAAAGCTTGTGGATTAACACATTATCGAGGCAGTCCGCACACCATGCACATATGCCAGCAACAAACTGATCGATTGAAGTTTTAAACTTCAATGGGAAGATACAAGCCAAACAATACCAAGTAAATTACATTGTTGGTTAAATCTGACTAACATCAAATGATTCATTTGTGTACAAAACAATTGCTAGAAATACCTAATTAATAGAATATTTTCACTCAGTTTCATAGATCATTCACTCTAAAACTTCTGTAATACAAAAACGTTTATAAATATAAGAATATCTGTGTGTAGCATTGATAGCGATTAATGGTTAGATACATTTGAGCATCTTTTTAACTAATAAAATTTGATATTTTAAACTGCTTCTTTTACTAGTGAATTAATCGTAGTAATTTTGACAACCTTAAATACCGAGAATATTATGATAGAGTATGAGATAAACTAGATACAGTACTGTGTTTAACTAATTTTGTCATTCATGTATCTGAATTACACTAGTGATCATTCTGTCAAACATTCCATTGATAAATATGCATGCATAACAATTTTTAAAATTAAACTGAAACAACAGGCCTATTGTCTAATAATCATGACAACAGTAATTTATTTTGACAAATATGTGCTTCCAGAATAACTCCGCTCAGAAACCTAACTGATATTTTTCCAAATGAAATTGACATATCAATAATATCATGTAAATAATAGTTTTGTGAATGAGGAGTCAGCATATTGAAAATAAAAGCCTTGACAGTCAATGATATCTTTGTTCGAGATACTATTTAGTGCTCTTTCAGTTCTTATTGGTTTTCATTATGAATTAAGGTCAACTGAAAAACGACTCAGAACAAGTAACCATGAGATAAATTTCGGTAATGATATTAGAAGACGAAGATTATCAGAACTATGTGATATATTAGCGCACAAAATTTCGAACAATCTGGTCACACATATACTTGTTACGAGCATTTATATATAAAAAAGAAAGGTCAACTAGACAGAAAACGGGGTAAGAGGAGATAAGGATACTGATAAGAGTAATAATAATAATCATGTGAATACAAAGCGAAACCTAATCACTCTGGATAATAAGTCAATATTACCAGGGTAGGTTTAAGGTGAAAGAACAAACTGTTTTTGAGCACACAGAGGGGGTTTGAATTTTCGTATGGCTAAGGCTTCAATAAACCTTAGTATATGCCCTTTTACACTTTTATACAACAATACAAAAGCTGAATTTAGATCAATCTTGTGACCTGTTTCAATTATATGTTTAGCAATAGAGGATGATGGATGTTTATCCTCTGCTTTTATTGGGTCACTTGATTGTATTTGTTTCTGCAGCCATTTGGGTACATGTTCACTCACCCTAATGTTGGGGTCACGATTGCTCCTCCCTGCGTATGTGTGACCACACACACATTTAAATTGGTAAACACAGTGGGATGTGACGCAATCGTTTCCATGTATTTTAGGTTTTGAATGAAGCATGCACCTTGTTCTTCTTTTGATGATGACCTTTGCTGCGCAATAGGTTTTATCGATGACTGATTTAAGCCGTTGTTTCAATAAAATGATATTTGAATCACCTCTGAACGGTAAAGTGATGTAGACAGGCTTTTTCTCTACCGATGCTACATTAGGTCTCGCTGTACCATGGACTTTCCATCTATTTATGAATTTCAGAGGATAGCCATTTTCTATTAACGTTTTATTTAACAACTTAACATCATCATCAATTGCGTCATTGGTACAAACATGGTCGAGTCTGTTGAAAAGACACCTTATCAAACCACGTTTGTATTGCACAGGTCAATAACTATAATAACTAAGATATTGACCTGTCCACGTTGGTCTTCTAAAAATAGATCACTTGACTGAGCCATCTTCTCGTCTACTTAGAAGTATATCTAAGAAGGGAAGCTGATCGTTTTTCTCTTCACATGAGAGAATAATATGGTTTTGGAGTGTTAAGTTTATTTAATAAACGGTACATAGTTCTGAAAATCTTCGTCTTCTAATAGAACCTTAGCTAACAATCAATTTATTCAGTATTATCTTGGTTGACGATGACTGAATGAAATTCTAAATGATTAGGTTTTGGAAATAAGCTTAAGATTAAAATCAATAAATACGTGAATTCACGTTTTAGTAATTATCTATGTACATAACCTTAGATCTAGTGTGATGATTATGAGTATTTAAATCATTGTACGAATTAGGAATTCCAGAAATAACACAATTTAACCAAGAAGAATTATATGAGCACTGACGAACGTATTGTATTTGGAATTCGAAATCAAGCACTCGTCAAGTACAAAGGAATCATTAGTTCATACAAACACCGTATCTATACACCACATACAACTATTGATTATGAAACCTACTTACACTGATTAAAATATAGAATGCACTTCTATTCATAGTTAGTTTGTGTTCCCTTACCTAAGTAATAACCTTGTTTTATATATGTTATGTGATTAGCCTACGGTAATTTCTAATTACGAACGATTCAGATTCTTCTTATACGGACGGAACTAATGCCAACTCGGCAGGTGGGAGGACTAATACACAAAACTTCAACAATAATCCAGGATTCTATGGAACACATGAAAAATTTAGGAGTTCATGTAAAAATTGCTATTCAAAAGGAAGACAAATAGAGTGTTGAACATATGTGTATATGCAACAACAAACATGATCTAAGGATACAGTAAAATTAGCAAACAAAAAGTAAAAACAACCACTCAAATAACAATAAAGGTTGTAAGAAAATATCCATTAGAACAACTGTTATGACGGTTATTGTCACTGGAAGGAACTAACGTTTATTTGCAAAAAGTTAGATAAACTTAGATCGCTCTAGCAGCAAAATTGTTCCAACTTAATGATAATCAGTCTCAAATTTGTTCACAGTTAATAGTAGTAATCATTTGAATTAGAACGTTTGATGAAATAAGATTTTAACGATTAAGGTCGAAACAAGAGAACATTTTTATCAGAATGTGTTTTGTGGAGATTTTTTTTAGAAATTTTCACAGATTGAACTCATGAGTCAGTTGAAGCTAGACCACCATTGAAAACCTGGAAGCACTGGACGGCCGTTTCCAAAATAATAATGAGGCGGAATTCAATCACTTATCCCAACCCATTCCATGTATATTGGTTATTTGTGGATAGTTTCTATTACGAGCTGATTTCATCTTGAAAATCATTGAGAACTATGCAGAATTGAAAAAAATGGTTTGTCTTAGTTCAGGGTTCCGCTGTAGTCCACACATGAATTCTCTTAGGGGACAGACCCAAAACATTTAGTTTTTGGACCAGGCACGTTACATTTAAACCTCTAAATTTTCCATAAATCATGGTCCAGCCGATTTCTGGTTTAAAACATTGACATTAGCGTTTAAGTATTCCACACTCGACATGGTTGAACTCCCCTACACACGACATTTCACTAGAACATCGGGATTCATTATCGAACCCAGTCACTACTGAGCATTTTACCATCATTATCAAAGTGGGTCATTTCTTCAGACTGGTTCAGTTTAAATAGTTTTTGCCACATACTGTAATTAATGGAATAATTATATTCGTTATTTTCTTAGCCACTTGTCACTGATGAAAATGAACGAGACAGATGTACACTAGTGTTAAAATATCATTTCCAAGCTCAAAATACTCTTTGTAATTTGCAATGCTCTTAAGTTACTTAACCACACAATGGATTGTTGCTAGGCTATTAACAGTTTATGCAATGAAAATAAGCTATATGTTTGAATATTTATTATCAGTTTCCAAACATTACTTCCAATTTTATAACCTAATTTTTTATCAGTGATCAATATGGTCCGCATTACAGGTTGGTAGTATTAAGAAACCATTTAGAATCAGGGGATATCAGGTATTTCTTTCATATTTTAGTACAACGTTTGGTTATAAGTGTTCTCACAGATTTCCTAACATTGTCTTATCAACATCATGCTTTTTATTTCAGGGTTATGGATATAATAGCGGAGTTGTTTTAATGGACTTAGCTAAATTACGTTCAGCAGCATGGAACCATTTATGGATGAGTGCTATTAAATTTGTTATGAAGGCAACGCGTTATTTGTCAGCTGGGGAACAAGTAAGCGATTATCTTTTTTGTTAATCTTTCCGGAAATAAACAAACTAATTAATTTTCCCATGTGTTTATATCCTCCCCCATCGCATTTCGGAAAGTGACTAACATTTAAATTCAGAAGGCACATTTGTCTTGTTTGGGACCCATCAACTGAATGTTACTGCATTCAAACTTTGATGTTTGCTTTAAAGTTTGTTTGCTCTAGTCATCGTTTCGAATTGAGATAATAAAATGTTCTGAAATTACAAAATAAGTAAGGTTAAAATAAGAATAACTATACTAGGTTGGTAGATATTATTTGAAATTGCTAATTTATACTATCTACTATTCTACAATGACTGCTGAAAAGTTGTTTGGTATCATTTACTCTAAGTAATACTTGATAAGCGGAGGCGATTTAAGGCAAGATGCTTAGATTACTTTCCTGTTAATCAGTTGTCATCAACAAGATAAACTTCAGCATTTAGAAATTTATACTTTGTAAAGGGATTCAAACTAGATACATTCAGATCCACAACTAAGAGAATTAACAAGAGATGTTTATGTGTAGACTACCATCTGTAAGACTAGACTAGATACATTGTTGATATAAAAACTAACTGCAGACTCTGCAAGTAATAAAACTTACGTCTCATGTAAGTATTTCTGTTCATTAATCCAACCTATTGCTGCATAATTATGGTACAAAATTCTTCTCCATTTATCTACTAAATAAATCAAATTTTTCATTTGATGCAACCTGATCTTTTTTCAAACAGACTCAATGAATATTTATTAACTTATATAAATTACGGTTTTTCAACGTGGATTAAATGAATAAAGTATGGTATACAATTTAATCCAACAGTGATAGATAAAATAACTTTGCTTAAAAAGATATAAGGAATCCAGGTTGTACAAACAGTCTTGGTATCTACATCATCGTATTCAATTTATCGTTCGTAAGAGATGCATCCTTTTCAACTTAGTTAATTATCTGAACAATTCTGGATATTATATATTGACATAGAATGCTTATTTATAACGTTTGTAAATAGTTATGCAGAATTTCTTAACAATAGGTTGCGCAACACCTAACTGGCATAACAGTTATCAATGTATTTTTATTTTATTCAAGGGTGTTATAAATTTAATCATGTTTAGAAACAATGAGACATTTTACAAAATACCATGTGAATGGAACATACAACTCAGTTCAGGTGTTGATGTACACAGATGTCCAGTTAGTTGGTTGGCTGAAAAGTCTCTGTTAAACAACAGGGATTTAATGCATGGGAAACAACCTAAAATTGTGTACTTAAACCATCAAGTAAAACCGGAATATCTGGACTTGGAAAATATATTAAATGTTGATACCAATGTAACACTTACGAATTATAATGGTAAGTATCATTAAAATTACTAATGAAGTGTCCTGGTAGGCATTGGATACTTTTGTCCAGAGTCTGACAGTAGTCTTTAAAGCATTAATCAAGTATAAAATTTGAATTCATCATATAGATGACATATTTTGAGACACCTGTTCGTTGATTTGTATCTTTTTTTGTCTTATGGTCAAAGACTCTTACTTAGCTCTCCCATTATCTATGACTAGGTTTTGAAAGCTAATTCACATTTAAAGGGAAAGTTTGATAGAAATGAAGTTAATTCTTTCTGAGAGATCTAATATCTGTCCAGAAGGACCATCGATACTTTCCAAAACTCCCTGATTGCTTTTGTATGATATTATGTTGTAGCCAAAATAATTTCCACCTCATAATCAACTTGCTCCATCACAACCTATAGGCTAAATTAATCTGAAACAACCCATCACTATTTATGATATTGACAATTAAATCATATGATTTAATATTTCACAAGTATTCGGAATAGACACTTTATGGACACTTTATAGACACTTTATGTATTATGTAATCTAGTTTCAATCAAAATAGAATTTGTAATGAAAAGCAAAAAAAATCATTTTATAAGAGATTTACTTATTACGTAAATGATATTCATGATCATATACAATGACATATTAAATAATGATTATTTTTATTCAATAAATGCAGAGTAACCTGTACCTTATAGATGCTTAATTATAATGTGAATGAGTTGTAAATTCACCAGTTAATGCTTTGGAAATGGCTTGTATCACTAGCCAAATTTAGTTGTCAGTATTGGGTTGTAGAGATTGTTAAATTCTTATTGTGATCACAAGACGATTCAGGTTAGATATCTATTGAAAACAAGGAAGCACTATCCGGCCGCTTCGTCCTAGTATGCGACTCTTCAAAAGTGCACACCCACGAATCGAGCTCAGGATCACCAGTCTCGTGAAAAAACAATTAACCTTTAGACTACTGGAAAGGGCACTAATGATTCAAAGGTTTAACTTCAACCAATTTGTGAATAAAAACCTCCCATGGCTCGAAGCTGAAAGATCGATGTAGAGGTCGTGGATAAGTACTGCTGAGGAATCCCATACTGGGACGAAGCAGCCATCAAATGCTTACAGGTTTCCAGTAGTAGTCCAAATTTTATCGGTTAATGATTTAAACTAAATCCTTTACTCACCAGAACTGAATATTAATAATATCATACCGTCACTTCAGTCTTATAAACAGAAATGAGCAGTTTTTAATTAAGGACACTTCGATTATAGGAAAATACCTAAGCTTTACTCAGTATAATAAACGACTATTTTGTTTTCGGCCCACAGTCTACACATTACTACTGAATGTTTAAGACTACAAATGAAATCGCAGACAAGTTTAAACAGCGATTATATCATTAAACATCTACCAACCCATACATGAAATTAGAAACAGATTATATCTGAAAATTTTGTTCCCCAATAGTGTATCATGGAAAAGAGGAACAAATGTTTTTGATTTTAGAAAAGACATCTTACTGTATGTATTAATATCAGACAATATAGAATGTTTTTTATTTGTCCATAAAACATTAAGAACGTTCATTATACAAATATGACCTTGGGAAACAAAAACTATCTTTGACCAAATTCGTTTTAAGACAGATTTCGGTTATTCACAACATTTTAATCGTTTAAAGGTCTCCATCATATTAAAAGACTAGTGTTTGAACGAAGAATATTCTTTTCTATAAATTCTATTCAGGTTCTACAATTATATATCCAAATTAATAATCGGAAAAATGGCCAGGTTAAGGGCAAAGTACATCGTTTAAAGCATGTGAATTGCGGAGTGTTTTTAAAAAATACAATAAAATTGTTAATTTTTTGATTGAGATCATGAACCGATTGATGTTAGACCACCATCGAAAAACTGAAAACGGCCGTCTAGTGCTTCCAGGTTTTCAATGGTGGTCTAAAATCAATCGGTTCATGATCTCAATCAAAAACTTAACAATCTCCACAACCCCTAAACTGAAATTTGTTAATGTTGATATGACTCATATAGAATGTTAACTTGAATCTGCGTATATGTTGAGTGAAATTTTAAAATCCATGATCAGAATATATATGGGTCAAATAGGGTGAGAGAGAAATTACAATTCGATAAATTAAGTAAGACGTAATACGGAGGGATGAATGCGAAGTGAATGGATCGTGTATAGGGGAGATTAATAATGACGTTTAACCAATAATACGAATAATAATAATAATAATAATAATAATAATAAGATAACAGAGACAGTTACAACTGACTACGAAAGGTCATAGTCAAGTTAGACCATTCAATAGTTAAGATTACGATTGATTAATAAGTCTTGATGTTAGCCAGGGGAGGAGGAGTGGTTGAATATATTTCTTCTGTACGCATAGCTCCGGTTTCTTCATCCGGATGGCTACTCCTTCAGCTGTTTGACCAGTCTGACCAGTTTTGGCAAAAAATTACTGACCTTATAAATAATTGAAAAAGATTGGTTTATACTTGTACTATAACCGGTTTGTACAAAATGGGCCAATATTGAGCTGTTCACTTTCTTCATCAAACCTTTGTTTAGCCACGCTGGAAGGTGTTCACGAGCACGAAAATGTAAATTCCTAGAACTTCGACCAATATAACTCGCTCCACAGGAGCAGTCGAACTGATAAATACAAAATGAGATAGTCATTCGAGGTAATTCATCTTTTAGCCTCAGTGTAACCATTGGGCGCGTAGAAAACACTAATCGCAGTTCTCTGGCGTCAAAAGATTTTTGTATTGTCCTACGTAATCTCTGAGTTAATATTTCACTAACCGCATCCACTCTGAATTGTAGACGCATGAACAGGGATTTCTTCTTCACCGTTTTCATTTCGCCTATTTTCGCCTTCATGATCCCTGAGAGTATTATGCAAGCGCTTCAAATATATCAGTAGAACATATAGTGCGTATACGTAACTAAGGGTTTTGATCAAGTTTCGTTTGTACTGTAGAGGTACAAAGCTCAGGAAATTCGTATACTGCCCAGTCTATGTACTTTTTCTGTTTGAGTTCATTTTTAACGATCTATCCGCTCTCTTAGTCAAGAGAACGTCCAAAAAGGCTATTCGGCCATCACATAATAAACAAGTTTTCTTCAATCCATCAACTCAATAATTAATTTCAGTCGGATTTTTAAATCTGCAAATATATTGCCTACTTCACTGGTGGAAAATTTCACCTTCAATGCATACATTTGATTTGACTTATTTGTTTTGTTTCGTTTTTTTTCGTAGCTAACTTACTCTACATGGTGTATCTTAAAGAATATTTTAAATATCGACATATCAGTCAAAAATGTTTCTATTAAACCCGGAAAAATGCACTACATTTACTGGAAGGCATTTTCTGTTGTTACAGTTATATTTGTATAACCTTTATATGAAGCTGATATGTACACATATATCCAAGTTGAAAAAAATTTCATTATCAAATAAATGAATCATTGTAAATCCAAGTTTATGGTTGATAGTTTTTAATCTCAGTTTACTTAAACCAATTGTTCTGCAAAATCCCTTTTATCCTCTAGGTACTCTTTTGGCAGCATCAAATTACATCTCAACTTTTGACATTCTCACCGTCAGCCAATATATAATATAGTGAAACCAAAGATTCCAGGCTAAATATCTTAATGAATTCTTTATTCGCAGTTCTAAGAAGTCCCAGAATAAAATTTTCGTAGTTTAATAATGCCTGAATAGTTCAATTAGAAAGGGAAGTCTATCAAAATATGTTATACATTTATGCAGTTATATGTATCATGAAACTAATTACTGTTCGGACAATAGCAAAAACATAATGAAAACTTTAGTTCTGATTATAATCTAAAACCTACAGAAACTATATAACTATGGAAGCATAAAGATATGTAAATCTATTGAAATGAATAAAGTGTATACGCATGAACTAAAAGGAGAATAATGTTATCAAATGATTAAATTGAATCTTAGAAGAAATAACATATGTACCAACTAATATATGAAAACATTTGTAACTAAGATAATAATATCGACAACAAAACTAACTCGTGAAGTCAATGATAATGTCTCTTTGACCATAAGTGCCTTGGAATTCAGTTTGTTTTTCTACAACCAGAACAAAACACTCACAACTAGGTGGACTTACGGAGCAATAAAACAACTAGAATTCATTTTGTGGTTTTCGATAATGATTAATAGGTCTCAAAGTCCAGCCGAATCCAATCGCCGATGTCTCATAATGACTTTTAGGAAGTTATTAAACCTTCACAATTCGTTTAGTAAACCGCCTCATCAAGCTACACAATCGTATTAGTTAAACAATCGGCTAAAATGCCTGTCTTTATGGTAGAGATAAACAGTCACATTGGAAGCGCTGATAGAAGATTGTATAAGAAACTGGGAAATAATTGGATAAAGACACGTTACATTTTGATAACAATAACATAATCACTAAATAGTCTAAAATTTATAGTAAAAAATGTGTTTGCAACAAAGTTATAGGCTTCTTCGTTTTTGGTCTCATTTCGCTACAAGTCAAGCTTCGTATGAACATAATCATCATATATATATATATATATATATATATATATATATATATATATATATATATATATATATATATATATACTGAATGCCTATTACCCATCGTAGAGTATGACTTGTCAAATGGAGATCTCCGACCAACTCTGTTATGGGTTCTCGTTTTTAATAGTGTCCGAAGTGCAGTTCATCTATAGGGGGTGTCCTATCAACCAACCCCCAGCTTCTTTTCCTAATTTTCTCTCTAGTTGGAAGTTGGTTTGTTCTCTCTCATTGTAGGTTGTTACTGATGGTATTCGGCCACCGGATTTCCGGTGGGTTCAATGGAGCTGGTCTATTCAACAGCTCTTCGGAGTGATCTGCTCACCTTTTCCGCTGTTCTTGAATCCCAGTGATCGTCTTGAGTGGTCGCTCTGGTTTATTATATTTCCCTTCAAGTTTCTTTGTTGTGTCATATAGTTTTTTTAATATATCCTTCCCTTGCAGCTTATTCCGCTATCGTTGATAGCTTTTCTACGTATTTCCGCTTGGAGGCTCTAATACTCCACTTCACTCTCTTGTTTGCTTCAGTATATTCAGCCCGTGCCTTGACTTTCTCTATTCTTGTTTGGCTGCTGTTAATTGCTGTCCTCTTGTTCTTCCTTTCTTGAATCCTGTCCTGGGTTCCTATAGAGATCCACCATTCCTTCTGATGATGTTTGTTGCGGCCCAACACCTCCTGACACACTGAAGTTAGTATCTCTTTGATCCCTTTCCGGTTGTCCTCCATAGTAGTTTCCTCTTCTTTAATTAGATCTTGTAAGGCTTAGAACGTGTTGCTGGAAGCTACCTTAAATTTATTGAGTCTTTCAGTGTCTCTATTGAAAGTAGTATTGAACATACGTAATGCTGTTTCTGCAGTTGTCCAGTGCTTCTTTAGCTTCAGTTTCATCTCAACAACCACCAGGCGGTGATATGAAGCTATCACAGCTCCTTTCTTTGTTCGCACGTTTTCCATGGATCTGAAATTTTTATTGATCCAGACATGATCGATCTGATTCTCTGTAGTGTGATCCGGTGAGACCCAGGTAGCTTTGTGTATGCGTTTGTGGGAGAATATAGTGTCATTTATAACCATCTTGTTGCAGACACATAGATTTGTAAATCTCTCATCATTTTCGTTTCTTTTTCCCAGTCCATGGCGTCTTATGATGTGTTCATACATGGAGTTTATCATTTCGACTTTGGCGTTTAGGTCTCCCATCAGGATGGTCAGGTCTCTTCCTAGGTATTTCACCGCGATGAACTTCAGCCTCTCACAAAACACTTTTTTATGGTCTCCACTACTATCATTGGTAGGTGCATGGCACTGTTTAACATCCATTGCAATTCTTCCCTTCTTTGTGTCTGAAGGATACTCTGATGATCGTTTATCCACGAAATTCTCATACTATGCCTTTTAGCACTTCCTTAGAGAGCATCGGTGCAACTTTTCGTGTGACTGAGGTATCTTGTTGATGACCAGAATACAACAGCGCCCCTCCTGAAACTGATCTTTTTTCTTCACTCAGCCCAAGCACCTCCACGAGATATCTTTTTATTCAGGTTTTTGAACTGTCCTCTCAGTGCTCCACATTGTTAGGACATTCCGTGTACCTATATTAATTTTTGCTCTGGTTATTAGAATGGGCATCGGTATTATGACTTTCGAAGAATATAACGTCTGGTTAATTATTTTGAACTACATTAGAAGTTCGGTATTTAATTAAAAATTATAATCATAAATATATAAAATATGGAATACTGTAGAAATAAAAGTCTTCAAGCTTGTTTGAATATTTCTGTTTTTGAATTATAGTAAAAACTAAGGTCATTTATTAGTGATAAGAACAGCAGCCATGGAATTCAAATCATTTAACATAACAGTCATTCTGATTCTACACACTGTGAATTTTTCAAAACTTTGATTGATTGCCATAACATTGAACATATAATTGCACCCCAGAATAGATTCAGTATGTCAAGTATGATACCCAAAATAAAATAAATTTTGAAGGCATCAATAAGAAATATCCGTTGTGCTTCACTGGTATGATGATGTATATTGTAGGATACCAAATACCAAAATGGAACAGCACAAATATTTCTTGTTAGAATAAATGTGACGGCAAATAAAGAGGTTGCTATGGCAACGTATTTGTGATGTGAAGAATATCCACATGTACGCAGAAACCACCTGTTTAGGGAGCAGGAAGACAAAAAGTTCATCAATAGACATATTTTTGTTATCCTCTAAATTAGATTACTAAAACATACTAGATAATGCTCTATATCTGTATTTCACATAATCTTAGGGTTAAAAATAAAAAAAGGTGAATGCAAACGTAGAAAATACAAGAGTTGGTTACCGAAATTTCTAAACTAGAAAATGGGTTATCTTTGTCGTCATATAATAATAAACTAATCACAATGCCATTTAGCTATACAATTTATAGACAAGATTGAAAACTCTTTTACAAAACCAACCTAGTTTAAGTTTTTTCATTTCAATACTGTTATAATTGTTTATGATGTGACTTGTCATTTAATTGTAAATGAATATGACGTAATCCTGACTGACTAGCGGTGATAAAATCTGGATTTACCTAACTAGCGTCATGAACATTCTGATTTGTATTGATATAAAAGTACAAAGATTGTTTCCATTCTTAATCAATGGGAACTATAAGACAACTAAAATGTTAATAGCTGCTAACAGTTTCTTCCAAATAAACAATATTCAGCCACTTTCAAAATCGTGACTGGAAAGATTGAATTACGTTTTGTTGAAATTTTGGGAACTTTTGTTTTACGACATAGTTACGAGTGAATGAATTATCCATACAAATTTACTTTTTTATCTATAGCAGACCTTGAAGTAGGTGTTAGGAGCCTTTATGATACTAGATATCTGGGTCTTGTCGTTCCATCATAAAGCTATTTATCTGAATCAGTAGTCTAAATAAACATACACTCCTCGTGAGTCGTAAGATTATCCATTTAAACCATAAGGAAATTAAAACACCTGATCTTACAGACATTTATCATTCAAACACCTTCAATTCACTGAAATAGATTCAAGAGAAAAACTACTATAAAGAAGGACTTCAGACATTTTATTTTCGAGGTGAAAACTGAAAAGTCATGTGATATTAATGTTAATAGGTGCTTGTATTTGAGTTAATCAAGTGTCTTTGTATTGTCCAAATAAATTCAGATATTTCGAAACGGTTTGTATGGAGGCCTTCAAAGTTATTTATTTACAAATACTACCACATAATGCTCTTCATTCTAAAACAATTTTGATAAATGAGAGAAAAACACAAATAGATGCCCCATTACTTGGATACCAATAGTAGCTTCCTCTGAAGTGAAAGTTTTTCTACGATTCCAACAGTAGTATCATTTATCTGTCTATTATCAGGGCGGCCTACTTGAGCATCTGGGCTACCTGTTCCTGTCATCTAGATATTTCAACAAGTTATCTATTGTTGTTTGTTTTAATATATCATTATGTTTATTAATCGCATAACCTATTCTGCTGCGTTTCTGAAAAGTGTACAACCTTTCGTTGTCAAAGTTACAGAAAACTCAATAAGAGACAATATGGTTGCTGGCAATGTACAACGAAAAGAATGTACATTATTCAGTTGTTCATTCACTGAAGTGCTAACATCTAACTGGCGATTCCTCAATATTTATCGCCAGGACCGACCAATAAGAAAGAAACGGAAACTTGTTGAAATACTTTGCGCTGAAAATTCTATATTGTACCAAAATTATAATATTGAATAAAGCTAATAATAATAATATTTTCGTCTAATGTTACGTAAAATATACCAATCCTCGACAATAGGTACATTACTATTTCTAGCTAAATGATAGTAAATGTTTTTAGATTACTTAAAAGTAGTTAATA